GAACGTGGATTGGGACGAGGTGAGAGTGGTCTGGAATTTTTTTGCGATATACACGGAGAGATCGTCCCTTTTTCGCGAAGATGTAGACACTCGAGATGAGATTAGCCTCGCGCTCCTTTGATCTCCGACGAGTTCGTCGACGTACCTCTTCTTTACGATACAATCTTTATTTTTCATGCAAATGATATTTACACTTCTTCATTTCTGATTTCTTATCGCTAGCACATTTTATTTTACGCACACGTGTGCGCGCGTGCTCACACACACACACACACACACACACACACACAGAAGCAGAATATATCATAAATGTGTTATATACAAAAAGAAAATATCGTGGCTCCTATCGTGTATCCTTTATATTCGAACGCTGCTAGTCTGTTTCGATTACAAATGTAACCATTATCGAGCAATTGACGTTTGATTAAATCAAGCTATAGACGTGGCCGGAATTCGGGGCGCAGGTACAATAGCGTCGAATAAAACGCGTCTATCCGCCGCGTTACGTGGTATCCTCGACGCGTGAGATTAGTTCGCTTAGTGGAGTCGCGTGCATTCATGACGTTCGATATGCGGTAACCGTCGGGGTTCAACGACACGATTATACCCGCGATTAATTTCTATCTATATCGACCCCACGTCGTGCGAAAGTGCACCCGCAACGGTGCCCGAACGCCACCCCGGTGAAGGCACCGCGTGCGTGCCACCTTTGCTCGCCGTCGATCATTATAGAGTCGCGTTCGCGCCCTCGAGCACGCACGGGGGCGAGAGTACACGCGAGCACGCGTGCTCAAGTACGCGAGCGCGGCTTAAGATTACGTCGTCGGGTATTAGCCGTCGCGGGTGATCGCGGCGACGATCACATTGTCTCCCGCGCGACCGGTCGATCGATTAATTAATTACGGGACGATGGTAGGTTTGCGGAGTCAATATTGAATCCACGATTAATGCGTTTCTGGCAGCGCGACGCCGCGCCGGATCGACTCCCCGTCGTCTCCCCGAAATTTCGGTGGTTCGCGGAATCATCTCGACCGCGTCGCGTTTATTCCGCCCGCCGATTTTAATCGCGCGCTCAAAGGACGTAATTTTTACGCGTTTTTTTTTTTTTTTTTACGTTTGTCACTTTATGAGATATACGTATATATAGGTAAATTTCACATTCGCTCGCCGGATATAGACAAATAACGACGCTATAATTCGTTCGAAATCGCGTTAGCCTCCGCACGCCCAGCGTCGATGGCGTCGCTTTAATTTTAATCAATTTATTTCGCGGCATTACGCACGCACACACGCCGACCGACGAGATGATATCTCGCGCCGGCGAGCTTACCAGATTAGCAGGATATTTCAACTATTGATCGCGAGAGACCGATAAGTGCGACGCGGCGGTACAAATTCGCGGCGACGCGTCGACTCGTGTATATACAACTACACACACTACTAACACACATACGCATATCACATTACGCCATTTAACAAGCAGAATTTTCTACGATCACTATGCTCATGCTCGCAGCGGTGGTGTCGGACGATCGCAGGGGGGCAATGCTAACTTTTTAATATAATGTACTCGCCAAGATCGCATAAATCACAGGCGAGGGGTCCGCGTAGAGCGCGATTTACGACGAGCCAAAGTCGCGATTCGTGCCATCTAATCGCGTCGATATATCGTTTTCTTTTTCTCTTTTTATGCGACAATCGCACATGTTGTTTCAACCACACGCGACGTGTTTCCCTCCGATTAAATACGCCACCACCGCGTGCGCTAGCGAACAACGCATGCAAGGCATCAGAGGTTAGAGGAGACAGAGACATGATTTTTCAATTTTCCGCCCCCCGAGATAGAAGTGGGAAAGTGCACTATTCCGCATTGTTTCGTGATGGACGAGCTGGCCGTTCGCCGATAACCCGCGCGTGAATAATTCGAGATACTCAAATTGGACGTCGATGTGCTAAAAGAAAGGAGGAGTCAAAGCGGATGTCGAAATTCGATCTCAAAGAACGAGCGGAATATTTATTTTTTTATTTCGAAGCGAAGTATCGTGCTGTTCATCCACGAGATAAACAACATGAAAAAGAAATTGTTAATGTCGTTCGCAAGTTAAAATAAAAGGCAAATTTTCTTACGTCTATTATCTTTTGTTTCCCTTCTCCGAAATGATATGAGATTCAATGGAATAAATTGGTCTTTAAAAATGTTATATAAAATATAATAAATACATACAAAAAATGAAGAACGCGTAAAATCCCGGGAGAGGCTGAGAGGTGCTCTCTTGTTTTTCTTGCTTCTTTACATTGCGACAATTTGTAAAACGGCGAGCTCGTCGTTCGAAAAAGCCGCGACAAATCGTGAACACATACAATGTTACAACTTTTCTGCAATTAAGAAAAAATTTGGAACAATTTTCTCGTCTCGCAATTTTACGAGCATGGATTCGGCATTCGTCACGAGTACCGAATTACGTCGTGCAAAATATATGCGTTACGATCGGGCGGCTCTTTCGTTCGTTCTTTCTCTCTCTCTCTCTCT